AAAAAAAAAAAAAAAAAGTAGACTCTCGTAACCACTGAGCCATCTCTCTAGCTCCCAGGCATCTTTTTAAAGGGAAAAAGTGGAGACAGTAGTTGAGCTAGTGGCAATAGCTGAAGCTTGCCATCCCAGGATTAAACTCGGGTCAGCATCTCCATATTCTCTGGAAATATCCCTTAATTTAGGCCGTGAACTTGAGAGCCCTTTCTGGCACGGGCAAGCTGAGGACTGGGGAACAGCCTGTGTTTCTCCCACCAAAGCAAATGTATTGTTCACTCACAGTCCTGTGACATCACCCTGAGCAGTCCAGAGTCTGGGGGGGTAGCTGTGTGAATGCAGAGGCAGGAGGGGTCCCCTAATGAACACCTGCCTGCCTTCCGGAGTCCCTGGGGGGGATCCTGTGTAAAGCAGGCTCCCCAGCCAGTCGGGGAAGCTCTTTGCATTTATAGAGAAGCAATTATTATGTCTGCCCGTCAAAGCCTTCATCGGGCATCATTTAAGTCCATGAGTAAGAAAGACTCCCTCCCAAACCCTCATCAGCCCCGGACTTTCCTGATGCCTGATTCAGGCCACGCTGTATGTGAGAACAACATGGATGAAAGTATACGGAAATAAAAGGAAGGGATGGATCAAGGGGGGAAAACATAAAAGGCAAGGGGGTGGGGCAGCTGAGAGCTTTAAAGTGTTCCCAGAGAGAGCTCATCCCCACGGTGAGTCTCTGGAAGATGTGCAGAGAGACGTTGAAAGGAGCCCGCCACGATTGTAGTTGGTTTGCAGAGAAGTCATGGGGAGGGTCCAACTCTGCTACCGGCTTAGGAAAAGGGACCCAGCACATCCTCTCTTGGGCGTGCAAGTGTCATTGCAGTGTGTGTCTGGAGGTGTGTGATCTGACTGAAACCCCACAACATCCATTCATGATTTGCTGGAAGAGGAGCGTGTGCCACAGCATGCATGCGGAGGTCGGATGGCAGCTCAGGGGAGTCTGGTTCTCCCTCCAGCACGGGGATCCCAGCATCAAACTCAGGTCATCAGGTTTATCTTTACCCACTCTGCTATCAACTCTCCTACATCGCCGCATCTGCCCTCCCTAGCTGTGGGGGAGGGGTGCCACTGCCTAGCCGCTCTCTGCTTCCTGTTTGCCTCTAAAGCTGGTCTGTACAACCGCCTGTGCCTGTGGTCTGCTTCCAGGCTCCACCCTTTCATCTGTCTCACTCTGCCAATAAAAACCTTTATTAAATGGACCAGGGAGATAGCTCAATTTGTAAAGTGCTTGCCTACTAACATGAGGGCCTGAGTTGCATCTCCCCCCAACCCCACGTTTTGGGGTTTTTTGTTTTTGTTTTGGTGGTGGTGGTGGTGGTGGTTTTGTGTGTGTGTGTGTGTGTGTGTGTGTGTGTGTGTGTGTGTGTGTGTGTGTGTGTTTTAATTGAGGCATGGTGACATCTCATGGCTGGGGAGACAGACATGGATTCCCCATGGAGAAAGACCTCTCCTACATATTGGAGAAGAGGCCAAGCCCTATTGTTCTTATCAGTCTGCATAAAGCAAGTGGCTTCACTGTGTCCCCTGCCACAGAATATAGGGCTTCCGTCTTGGAGAGGTTAATCATCAGAGCCCCTAGGGTAGGAGAGGCGGGGCAGCTGCCATAAGCTGCTGTGCAGAATCCACAAAGGATGACCTCATGCACTATCCCTCCCCTCCCCCCCCCCCCCCCCCCCCCCCCCCCCCCCCCCCCCCGGAATCGGAGCGGCCAATGAGCCTCTGGTGGCCTTAGTGTGGAGGGTGCAGGGGTACAAGGACAAGTCCTTGCTCACCCATCCACTCCATTCAGGCTTCCCAGGGAGAGGATCCCAGCCCCTCCTGGCCAGAAAGAAGGGGTGATGATATGACATCATTTCTACCCACTCCTGGAAATGACCTTTTCTGCTACCTCACTGCTGTGACCACCCCTAAAGAGTAGGAATCACCCGCCCACTAGGTCTTGGGGCCCCCAGTTCCTTGGTAGGCAGAGGAGGTAGGCAGGTGAGCAGGCAAAGCTGGACGCGAGTGCCTGTGTCATGAGGGTGGGCAAGTCCCCATTGGCTCAGCAGACAATGTAGTAACAAGACAAGAATGGCCCTGGCAATCAGACCTGTTGGCATATACCTATAATCCTAGTATTCCTGGGGAGACCCTGAGTATCCTTTTGGGGGCATCCTTGGTCTCATTAATAAAAGATCTTCAAAACAGACTCTCAAGGAAGTTCGGGAATGGTTTTATTGAAATGGGAGAGAAAAACAACAGGGCAGGTATGCTGAAAATCTCAGCGGCTGCCAGGAAGGAATAAGGGAGGTGGGGCAGGGGGGGCGCGGTTTTCCTTTGAAGTCACACACAGAGGTTAGAGAGGTGGTGAGAAAGACCAGCTTCAGGGAAAGCATGCTCAGGCTGAAGACCAGTGCTTGAAGGAAAGGGAAGGGCGTGCTTGGTGGAAGGCTGTAGGTCTGTGTTGCAGGGGCTCCTGTTTCCAGGTTACTGCGTCCCAGGGCAAAGGCCTGCACCAGGGATACATGGCTGGAAATAGAGAGACAACATATTAAAGGAAAAGCACTCCCAAGAACGAGAGCAGCCTAAGGAAGGAGCCAGAACCATAGGGCCTGGGGACCCTGAGTCTTTACAGGGCATTTACATAGCACCCTCCCACGCCCATGTGTGTTTTGTGCATGCTCTGTTAGTGCATGATCCCTGGTGGGAAAGAGTTTCCAGTCCTCCTCTTCAAACTGGCTTTGTTCATATGTTAATCTCTGTCTCTACTCTCTAGTCTCCCAGAGAGTGGGGAGAGTGAAATAAGGGGATTCCAAGTTCAGGGTCATTCTGGGGGCTACAAACTGAGAGCCCCATCTCAAAAAACATAAATAAATACAAATAATAAATAAAACCCCTAGACAGAGAATGATTGACTTGGTCTTCAGACACCAGTCTGATTTCTCCTAAAGTATAAGGAAGAGCTGTGGTTACTGTTAGATTTTTTTTTTTTAATGCAATTAACTTAGACATGACAATTCCCTTGCTGTCTAATGGTGCCCCATGGGGGTAACAGCTTAGAGGGAAGAGTCCATTGCTGAGTTGAAGCCACTTTGCTGCTAACCACTAAGCCAGGCTTGGCTCCCCTGCCTTATGCACAGGGTGACATCAGAGCCAGTTTCTAGAGGGACTCAGGCCCCAGATCCTAAAACAGACGACCTCCAGATCCTGTGCTTCCTACACACATGTATTCCAGGATCTGGGGTCCCAGTCTAGGGAGAGGTGCTTCCTGGGGCTGCCAAAACAACTAACAACAAAGTTGGGGGCTTGAAAGGGACCGGACCATGTCTCTTAAAATCCCAGACGGGAGGATCATTGGTTGCAGCCCCTTCCAACTTGATTGACCTCTGTGCCTCCAGGCAGCCAGCCTCGGCCTCTGGCTTTATGCCCTGTTCTATATGGTCTTATTAAAGTCTGTCTTATAGAGAGACGTGAGATGGTATTCAACCCCCCCCCCCTCATTGTAGATCTGGGGAGATGACTTTGGATGGATAAAGTGCTTCCCCCCAAGTCATTACAGGGTACAATAAGTTATGTCACATGTACCCCCCCCAACACACACACACACACATAGAAAAGCATCCATGCTAAGGGAGAATGAGGCACGTTTGGAAAATTCCACAGGAGCTGGGTGGGATGGTCAGGGAGAGCTTCCTTGAAGGTATGGGCTTTGGGCAGGAATGAAGTTTTGAAAGGGAACTAGATGAAGGTGAGGTAAATATGAAAACTGAGACTCCTGTCAAAGTATGGTCTCAATTATCAAGATAGCATTTAGGCCTGGATTTTATATACATATTCATGTATAATTATAAATACGTATGTATAGCCTGTGTATTTT